GTGTGTGTGTGTGTGTGTGTGTGTATGTGTTTAATAAATTTGCTTCTTCCGTGGAGCTGAGGACCAAACCTAGTGCAAACATTTTACCACCCAGCTAAATCCCTAACCCTGAGAATGACCTTGGAAGTCTGATGGTCTTGCCTCCATCTCTGGAGTTCTAGGATTTTAAGGATGTGCCACTCCACCTGATTACCTGATATTGGAATTGGACCCAGGGCCTTAAGTGAGCCTGGCAAACACTCTACTAACTAGGTTATCTCTCCAGCTCCCTATTTCCATTGAGTAGCTAGGATTAGAGTTGCTGAATCTTACTGTTAGTTTATGTGTAATTAAAAACAAAATCTGCCTGTTTCCAAAGGAGCTGTTCTACACTTCCATCAGCAGTGTGCCAAGGTCTTTACCTCCTTGTTAAAACTTGCCTTTGTCTGTCCTGGGATTGTATTCCTTCAGTGGGTCTCTCTTTTGCCTTTTGAATTTCTGTAGTTACAAGTGTTATTAAGCATCTTTCCTGGTCCTTCCCTTAGCTCCCTTAGTGTTTGTTTCAAATCCTTTGCATATTGTAAAAATCGAGTTCTTCTTTACCTTTGTTGTAAGAGTTCTGTGTATATTCCAAATATAGTTCCTTAGTAGATCTGCAAGCACCTTCTACAGGTTTGCAACTTGTCTTTTTTTTTTAACAGTATCATTTAAAATGTAAGACTAACATTTTGATGCAGTCCAACTTGTCAATCTTTTTTGTTTATGAATTCTAGCTTAACCCAAGAGCATAAAGATTTTCCCCCAAATATTTTATCGTATTTTTTCTTCTTATATGTAGGTGAAAGCTTTGGTTCATTTTGAGTTAATGTTTGCATATGTTGTGAGATAAGGGTTCAGTTGAATCTTTATTCCTTGAACATGTCTAACAGAGCCAACGTCACTTGTTGAGAAGATGGCTCCTGTATTACTGACCATGCTTTTAAAATTTTTGTTTTGTTTGGGCCTCTAGACTATACCCATAGGAGGGCAGGCAAGAGGACTTCATTTACAGGTGGGGTAGAAATGGTCTGAGTTGAAATTCTAAATGCCAACAGGAGAGAATGAGCATCTGGCTGGTGTTTTAAAGAATAACTTGGACCACAATGTATTTTGTTTCCCTTATCTCCCCCATTCCCTCCCCTCCCCTGCACTGAACATCTGCTTCTGTCTTGTGAGAGGAAGCGAAAGATTTAGGTCAGGCATAAAAACAAACTATCTTTGAGGCATTCTTCCCCTTTAAAAGCCCCCACCCATGACCCTGTTGGGTCAATTAAGCACTGAAGCAGAGTTGTATGAATAATTCTAGAATGAATTTTACAAGTTGGCTTTTCCCAGGAATAGCAGTTGAGGCTGCTGTGTCTGAATATTGCAAAATTAAAAGCATGCCCCTTTAGAGGATGCTGACAAGAGCTAAGAGAGACCATTCTTCAAGTGACACAGGACTTTCTCTTGTCTTTTTTTTTCTTCTGATATGTTTCCTACAAGAAACATACCATTTGAAGAGGATCTGTGGAGCCAGAAATTTTCCAATTCAGATCTTACATGTGCCTATGGTAGGCTTGATAGAGTAGAGGGAGAGACCAGTATTCTTGTGGAAGTCTGACTCTAGAAAAATGTTATTCTTTATAAAAGACACAATGATTACATTTTTCTGCACAGAAATGTAATGGGCTCTTTAGTAGAAGCTGATGTAGTGGCTATAATGACAGTACTGCCATATGTACTCTGCCATTGCCAAATTCCCCTACAATTAGAGTTGTGTGACTGCCACCACTACCGCCTCCACCACCACTACCGCCTCCACCACCCTGTAAAATAATAGCTGACATGTATCACTTACCTACACACTATAGTGCTGTTTTCTCTATTTTAATTCATTTAACTGTTCCTTAGATACACAAATACATTATTTGGAGGGACTAAAATGCAGAAACAATTAAGGTGGTATGTGGAGAAGGAGAACCTCCACCTTCCAAAAGAGTTTTGAGCCAGAAAAAACACTTCAGACTATCCCTAAGGGACAGCAGCAGAGCCCTTCTCTCAGACCTGCATTTTCTCTTTTTTTCCCCTATGTGTTTTTTAATTTAAATTAGAAAAAATCTTATTTTACATATCAATCCCAGTTCCCTCTCCCTCGGATCCTCCCATGCTCCCCACTGGTGCCCTCATTCACTCTCCATGGAGAGTGAGGCCTTCCATGGGGGATCATCAAAGTCTGCCACATCATTTGGGGCGGGCCTAGCCCTGGCTCCCCAGGTATTCAGTATGAGAGAGTATTTCTCCATGGAGGAATGGGCTCCCAAAGTGCATTCATGTACTAGGAGTAAATACTGGTTCCACTGCCAGAGGTCCCATAGACTGCCCAGTCCTCCTAACTGTCACCCAAGTTCAGGGGGCCTTATTTGGTCCTATGCTGGTTCCCAAGCTGTCTGGCTGGGGTCCATGAGCTCTCACTTGCTCAGGTCAGCTGTTTCTGTGGGTTTTCTCAGCATGGTCTTGACCCCTTTGCTCATCATTCCTCCGTCTTTGCAACTGGATTCCAGTAGTTGGGCTCAGCGCTTAGCTGTGGGTGTCTGCTTCTGCTTCTATCAGCTACTGGATGAAGGCTCTAGGATGGCATATAAGATAGTCATCAATCTCATTATAGGGGAAGGGCATTTAAGGTAACCCCTCCACTATTGCTTAGATTCTTAGTTAGGATCATCCTTGTGGATCTCTGAACATTTCCCTAGTGCCGGATTTCTTTTAAACCTATAATGGCTCCCTCTGTTAAGGTATCTCTTTTCTTGCTCTCCTCTATTCATCCCCTGACTCAATCTTTCTGCTTCCTCATGCTCTCCTTCCCCCTCCTCTTCTCTTCTTTCCCTTCTCAGTCTCCCTCCCTTGTGCTTCCAATTTGCTCTGGAGATCTTGTCCCTTTCCCCTTCTCTGGGGGACCATGTATGTCTCTCTTAGGGTCCTCCTTGTTTCTTAGCTTCTCTGGAGGTGTGGACTGTAGGCTGGTAATCCTTTTCTCTATGTCTAAGATCCATATATGAGTGAATACATACCATGTTAGTCTTTCTGTGACTGGTTACCTCACTCAGGATGGTTTCTTCTAGTTCCATCCATTTGCCTGTGAATTTCAAGATTTCATTGTTTTTTTTTTCCCCTGAGTAGTACTCCATTGTGTAAATGAACCACATTTTCTCTATCCATCCTTCAGTTGAGGGGCATCTAGGTCCTGGCTATTACAGATAATGCTGCTATGAACATGAATGTACATCCTTTGGGTATAGCCCTGCATTTTCTTTAAACTTCTAGAATTCAGCTGAGACAAAGAAATGAGTGAAGGAAAACACTTGTCTCTATCTTCTTTGGTGTAACTTTTTTTAAAAAAAGTTTACAGTTTTTATAGTTTTAAAATTAGATTTTAAAGTGAATACCCAAAATAATGGTCTCCTGGAAAATAGGAGTGAGAAGCTTGTTTTGCACAGGTGGTGCCTGGTGGAGCAGGAGACTTTCACCATAGATGGGCACCCTTTCACCCTTAGTACAGACCTGTAATTTAAAGCCTAAATGTCCCCCAAGGGCCCACGTATGTGTTAAAGGTGTGGTCTCTAGCTTGCGGTGTGACTGGGAGCTACTTGGGCCTTAAAGAGGAGGAAGTGAGGTCACCTGGGTTGTGTGCTGTTTTAGCTTCTTGTCTTGTGACAAAACACCCTGACAAAAGCTCCTGAAGTGAGAAAGGGTTTGTTTTAGCTCACAATCCAAAGCATTATGGGAGGGAAGTCAGTCCTGAGGTGACAACGGCTGTTCACTTGTATCCACAAAAAGGAGCAGAGAGGGCTGATCACATGCTTGCCCTGCTCAGCTCACTTCTCTGTTTTCATACTGTTTCGGACCACCTGCCCAGGGAATGATCCCAGCTGCAATTATGATGGGTCTAAATCCACAAAGGTCATCAAGAATTAAGAGGATCCCTCACAGGCACACCCAGGAGCCTGACTCCCAGGTGATTCTAGACTCTATCAAGATGATAATTAACGCTAACCCTTGCCCTTCAGGGGGATGTTGGGATCTAGGCCCTTCCTGTCTTTTCCCTGACCACCATTAGGTCAACAGACTTCCTGTATCATGTGAGTCCTCCCTCACTGTGAGTCCTCCCTCACATACTCTGCCACTACAGACCCAAAGCAGTAGGGTTAAACAATCATGGATTGAAACCTCAGAGGCAAAATGAACCTTTCTCCTTTAAAGTTGATATCTCAGTATTTTGTTCCAGTAGTGAAAAGCTGACTAGTGTATTTGTCAATCGGGACATGGCTCTACAGTGGTACTGAAGTCTCTTAGCTTATCTAAAATTTAGGCTTCTCTTTGACTGCTGGCTCCTGACATCCCCTCCACCCCCCTTCTTAGAGTACTTACTCCAGCAAATCTTCTCCTGGCCTTATACCAATGTTATAAGCCAGGAATGTTTTTCTTCAGGGCCTGAAGGACTTTTTTTTTTTTGATGGTTAAAAAAATTTGGGTTTTATTGTTTTTGCTAAACAATACTAAAAAAAAGTTTTTTATTTTCCATTTTGAAGGCAGGGCTTGAATTATTTAATTTTGATCCATTTATTTAATTTTTTAAAAAAGGGAAAAGAGATCATGGCCAAAAAACATAGCCCCTCCCTACCCCCAAAGCTCTAGCCAGTCACATGAGCATCACCCATGTTCCACTCAGTGCCTGATATTCAGGTGGTGGCACTCTGCCCCATGAGACTACCCTGGAGGTGTAGGGGCAACAAGTACCAGTTGCCTGAAGGACTTCTATTTGAAATGTGATCACCAAGAAAAAAGATGGGGCCTCTGTCTCTTGGTACCTGTGTGAGGACCAATTTTAGAGAGTGCCAACTGGCAAACAGATGACCATTTTACTTTGACAAACCTCTCTTTTCAGTGTCCTTTATATATGCTCACTAGGTCACTGTTTATGCTTAAAAACTCCATTACCATGTTTGCTTCAGCAGCATGTATACTAAAATTGGAACAACCCAGAGAAGATTAGCATGGACCCTGCACAAGGATGACATACAAACTCATGAAATGTTCCATATTGTTTTTACTAAATCAGCATAGTCCCTAAATACTTTCTAAATATTTGTCCTTGTACCCACAGTTAAGTATAGCCCTTACTCCTCATCAAGGAGACTTCTCTTTGCAATAGATGGATGCAATTCCTGAAAACTACAGTCAATCAAAATACAGAGTTGAGAAGCCCAGATCTAATGGATACATCTACAAAACAATTCCTGCATCTAAGGCTCAGGGAACAATGCAGGGGAAGGGGCAGAATGATTGTAGGAGCCACAGGATCAGTGTGTTTGCTGTGAGACTGTCTCCTAGTAATCTCAGAATCTACACCCATAAACTTTCACTATTATTGCTTACATAGGCACTGAACAAGGATGACAGTAGACATGCTGACATGGTTGGGGGAAAGCCCACAAGGCCTCAACCCTACACAAAGAACACAAAGAACTGTAAGTAACTAAGCATGCTGAGAGTGGGGGAAAGAGTCTTCCCCAGGGAAGAGCACACCAAGTGGTTATCCAATGCCAAATGGTCAGTTCTGATAACACATACAAGTAACATTATATAGACAGAGAACGCTATATTTAGTAGTGTGTATGTACATGTTATATATATATATATGTACATGATATATATATATATATATATATATATATATATATATATACACACACACACACACACACACACACACACACACACACACACACACACGCCTTCTGTTGAAAGGGAATTGAATTTGGTCTCCTTTATCACACCAGGCTTGACTCCTACTGGTAGTAGTCTCTCCCCTCCATATAATATTTTTATTATTTTTCTTTAAGAATTTCATCAATGTGTTCAAAGCATTTTGATAATTTTCATTCTACTCCTCTTCCTAACTCCTTCCAAACCCACTCCCTCCTGACTCCATGCCTTTCCCCATTTCAACTCTGTGCCCTCTTTTTACTTTTTTGTATCCTTTTCCCTTCCTTTTTCCTTTTTTTCTTTCTTTTTTTTTTATGAACCATTAAGTCAAATTTGTGCTGCCCATATACTCATGGATGTGAGGTCATTTCATGGCCGACCTACCCTTGTCCTTTAAGGTTCATGCCTCCCCCCCCCCAAAAAAAAAAAACCCAAAAACTGAACCCTGTCTTGAAAAACCAAACCAAACCAAACCAAACCAAACCACAACGAAAAAACAAAAAAACCTAAAAAACAAAAACCAAAAAAAGCAAAACCACCCCCCCCAATTTTTTTTTGACTGCCCCTCTTCTAGAAGCCATCAGTAGCTCCTCAGCTAGGGGTGGTGGCTAGTGAGTCCCTATCCTCTCCATGCTGGAACGGTGACTGGCTTGGTATTGTGCAGGCAACAACAGCCGCCAGAAATTCATGAGTGCAGTGGACCTATCACCCCAGAAGACCATTGTCACAGCAGTCTACCCTGACCTGTGTCTCTTATAATCGTTCTGTCCCCTCTTCCTTTGTGGTTCCTGAGCCGTGGCTGGAGGGGTGTAATGACGTTCTCATTTACGGCTGAGCACTCCACATATACTGACTCTCTGCCCTTTGACCAGTTGTGGGTTCCTCTGTTAACTGTTAGCCATTTATTGCAGCAATCTTCAATGATGTGTTTTTTTTGTTTAACTCTACCTGGTGGAATATTTCTATGATGTATAGAAACTTGAATACTATTTTCCTTAACTAATTCCCCAGTGAGTTTGAAAAACCAGTAACTTAGAACACAGGATAGCTTTGTCATGGTACGCGGTTACTTGGAGTCATTACCGGGGTCCTGTCATATAAAATATTCCATATACTTTAATTACATTTAACAAGTCTAAAACCAAACTGCTTCTCATCTTTCCTGGTCAAGAGATATCCTAGGTACCCCAAGCATAACCATGTAATTTAACACACAGAAAGTGCATATACACAGACACATAATTAATAATAGTTAAATGTATTTTTTTTAGGCCTGATACATGCCACCCACTATATGCTTTTTTACATTTAGCACTTTATAAACATTGCCTCATTTAATCTTTGTAGCCTCTTTGTGTTAGGTCAATTATTTGTTTCATATACCATGAAGCTGAGTCTCAGAGAGGTTGAGTAAGCGCTATAAAGCACAGAACTTGTCCAGGTCACAAGTGTGACACAACCCAGGCAGCTGGTCCTCAGAACCTGCCACAGTTATCCTTTAAGGGTGCACTGAGCTATCTGCCAGGATTCTGCCCCAAATCTGTATTCCCAAAGGAGTCAAGGAAGAGCTTGCTGTGTTTTATCTGCATTCTACTTTCCAGAGGCACTGTAGAAAATTTCACTGCCGTGTGCAGGGTTTCGTCTCAACGTCACCTGTTCCCCATTTCCTCTGGGTCAGTCACCTGTCATTCTACTTTGTGGCAAGCTGTGCATTCCTGGAGCAAAGCAGTCAGGCTGATCCTGGCTCAGGACTGCTCAGCCCTGCACTTCTGGGGATCTCCCATGGTGCTTCCAGGGCTTCCTCAGTGGAACGTGAAGACAGAGTGGTTTCCTGTTTGACTCATGTGTCAGAGGAAATTCCAGCATTTTCTCAACCATCTGTTCTCTGCAGCACTGGGCTATGAATACAACTCAAATAATATACCATTGTATAAACAGTTGTGAGATGATGACAACATCACAAGGCACAATAACAAGAACATCAGGAAGCAGACAGCAATGGCTTTTACGTCAAAATGTCACCACAATAAACCACTCTCTGTTAAATGCCTGTCTTTTTAGCTCCCAAGTGTTACTTGTTCCTTGTATGTGTGATTACTGTCATCCCTCAGTATTTGCCAGTCAGTGAGGTGTTTTATATAAATCAACAGATGCTGTCCAAGACAAGGAAGGTTACATAATTAAATTTTTTTCAGTGGTTATTTCGTGAAAAATTTCTACTTGCTTATAGGACCCAATCATTAATAATTTCCTGAGTTTAAAAATGAAGCATTTTTTGAATTGCTTTCAGATAACCATGAATTTATCAAAGAAAATGTTTATCAAGCGCTTCTGGGATACCCTGGTCTTTCTGATGAGGAAGCTGGTAATGGCAGCTTTGAGTGGCAGGTACTTATTATTAATGAAGACCGCGTTGAGATGGCAAAATTAGAAACTAACAAGCACTTTTTTACTTTAGAAAACAATTGGCGTCATTACAACTTGACCTTCCACAGCCCCCAGAGCTGACTCTGTGACACCTGCCAGTGGGAAGGCAGAGAAAACCTGGATATATATTTATGGAAATTTCAAAGTCTTTTATTCCAGTATTCAATGTTCATTGCACAAGATTAGAATTTTTTGTTTGTTTGTTTTTTGAGGCAGGATCTCTCTGTGTAGCCCTGGCTGTCCTTGAACTAAGAGATTCTCTTGTCTTTGCCTCCTGAGTGCTGAGATTAAAGGTGCATGCCACCATACCCTGCCTAGTATAATTTGTTACAGAATATGTTTTAGGAGTTATTTTAATTTTATGTTACAATATTAAATGATATTTATTTTAGAAAAAATAGAAAGCAGAAATAAAATAATAGAAAAATTCAACATTTGATGTACTTCCTCTCAGTTTTTATATAATATGTCTAAACACTAGTAGAGTTTCTTTCTTCACTGCTGGTATTGAACCAGCATGAACAAACTAAGCAAGTGCTCTATCTATGAGCTGTATTGCCCATCCTTCTTTTTACTTTTTCTTTCGAGACAAAGTCTCACTAATTTGCCTAGGCTGCCTTGCACTTCCTTGGTATACCTCGCTTGTCATCCTCCTGCTTCTGCCTCTTGAGTAGCTAAGATTACAGGTCTGCATCACCAGTTCCATTCATAGTTTTAATATGGGTATTTAAACCCACATTCTTCTTCTTTTTTTTTTTTTTCGAGACAGGGTTTCTCTGTGTAGCTTTGGAGCCTATCCTGGCACTCACTCTGGAGACCAGGCTGTCTTCCCACTCAGAGAGAACCGCCTGCCTCTGCCTCCCGAGTGCTGGGATTAAAGGCGTGTGCCACCAACGCCCGAACCCCACATTATTAAAGAATCATTAAATCAGCTTTGCTTCATTGGGTTGGTGAGTTATGTTGGAGGAATCCACGATTCGACACTACTGTCTGGTTTGCCTGAATTCTGGTAAGATGGGAATTTGTTACTCACTGTGGTCTGGGAATCAGTATTATCAGCATCAACTGAGAACATCTTAGAGATAAGGAATTTTATCCCCTCCCCAGACCTATTGAATCCTAAACTGTGTTGTAAAATGATTTCTGGGTGATTTATACTCACATTATATCTTAAATAAACACTACCACTGGAAAAATTGACAAAGCATCTTTCCTCTCGCAAGAGAATTGCTGAAGGTCTGATTAGTCTCTGAGCCTAGAATAACATCCTCTCCTACCAGACAATCAGTGGCTTCCTGGACTCTAACTGCCACAGGAGCTTTGCTGAAACAGAGCTGACTGGAGATCCCCCAGCCAGCTTGCCAGAGAAGGTGACAGCTGCCAAGTTAGGAGACGCAAGACACAGATGAATCTTGGGCACACTAATGCATCCATAAAACTTTGCCAATCTGAAGTCTACACTTAATTGTGTGTGTGTGTGCTTGAGCATGCATGTGTGTGTGCATGTTTGTGTATGTGTTCTTGTTTGTGTGTGTAGACATGTACATGTGGAGGTCTGGGACCACCTTGAGTAGCTGTGCTTGGCCTTTTTCTTTGTGGAAGGCTCTCACTGGCTTGGAATTTGACAAGTGGGCTAGGCTGGCTGGCCAGACTGCTAGGATTCTCCTGTCTCAGTTTCCTTAGCAACAGGATTACAAGTGAGTGCTAGCGTGCCTGGTTTTTTATACAGGTTCTGGGAATCAGACTTGGGTCTACATGCTTGCATAGCAAAGGTTTTACTGACAGAGCTGTTTTCCTAGCCCCATTTCAGAGTTTTATTACTCCGCTGGAGTATTCTTCCTGCCATCACTGTTGACTTACCAGGAAATGGTGTTTATCGAACTGAAAAAAAAAAAAACACTCATTAATAAAGC